CGTGGCTGTCTTTATTTTCTGCAAATTTTCCACGTCTATAAAAAAAAAAACCCCTAATATCTAATACAATAAATGTTTCTTACTTTTATTTCGCCTCTTGGCTTGGAATGCGTAAACCTCGCACCCCTAGTTAACTGGAGGAATATATCATGTGAATCCATATCTATATATATTTCGTTTTACTCCTTTGATAAATATATTTGCCGGAACATGCGCGCCAACAATTTTTTTACCTATTTAGTTAAATCTATCAATTAAATCCACGAATAGGGATGACACGATTCCAGTAAATAAAAGTATATACTCGATACTTTTCGATCGTTACCAAGTAATTTTGACATCGATACTTTTGAATCAAGTACTGACTAGGTATCGAAACCCGATACTAAAGCAAATTTGGCTTCGGCAATTTTTCCTCCATTGTTATTCCGAATATGGAGCGACAAAGTCGATATAGTGCAAATAATACACGCTCCAATCATAATGCAATAATACAAGGTGTTATGGGCTGGCAGCTTCTCGCTCTAATTCCGCCATATTTGCTGTGTTTCTTTATACATTCCAGATAATCCCATTTCACAGCCGGAATAAACAGAATGCGTTTGAAATATACGTTAACATATCATCAGGAACGTTCTAAAGAATAAGTAAACAAAGGAGTTTATTCCAAACGTTCAGAATGAATAAAGAAATGCAGCCAAAAAAGTAAATTTTGTTTAGAAAAAATATGAAATTTTATGTTTTTTCCACAAACGGGGATTAATTTCGCCCGTTTTTCTTCTTATTCTACGGAGCTGGGCAGTATCAAATCGAGCTGTCACAACTGATACCACCTTGCATTATTGTATCATGCGCTAAAATTGCTTCACCAAAGTCGATGTAATGCGACGAATACACGGCCCAACTGTTCGAGTGGAAGAGTGACTGGATGAATGTTCAGTACAGACGTTCCAACGTAAAATTAAGCTAACTGGGTAACTCTACGGGTTTGACGCGCGTTAGCTCGTAAAGGCCTTGAGCAAAATGCAAAGAAATACGTATGCGGAAAAGACTAGCGGAAAATACAAAATGAAATGTAGTGTGAGCCTAGCTCAGTTATTAAAGAATATAATCAAAGAAGAAAAAAAAAAGGGTACAAAGAGTATAATAAAAAAAAATCTTGGAAAAAACTGAAATATTCCAGAAAATTTAAACACCATCCTTCCATTTAGTCTGGAGAAAAGTAGATGTCAAATAGAAAAATTATTCCAGTTTCCAGAATCTAGATACTAGAAAATCTTTAATTTTTAAATGACTTTAAGAATTTCTTTTAGTAAAATTCATCCGCATCATTTTGTTTCTGCACTCTTCACACTACTTATTGTATGCGGAATTCTACCAGGTGAAGTAATAAGGACAACTATCATATTTAAATCTTTGGCTCATAATTTTTAAGAGCCTATATTCGTGGAAAGTACAACAAAAGAAGGTTTTTTCTCATAAATATTTTATGAGCAAATTTTTCCTTAAACCAGATTAACTTTCTTGTAATTTTTTCCAATGAATTATCTGTCAAATACCATTCATCATTAAACATATAGTTTTGATTTTAGGATTCCTAAACTTGTGACATAAAATAAAAAAAAAATTACTTATTTAGTTCATAAGTAATACCTTCATAGCCAAAAGTATCGATATAAGTAGGTATCGATACTTTAGATCCGATATTTTTCAATCCTATCCACGAAACATTTTCCAGCACGTGCTGCTGAAAAAAAAAGTTGCACTCTCAGCCAGGGTTGCCACTTTCACAAATAATAATGTGGTGGTAAAAAGGTACATTTTTTCTCATTTTGGTAGATTTTTATAAGTGTTTTGTTTGAAAAAAACTAATACAAGTTTAGTCCCGCCATGATAAAAACATAGGGAGGTAGATCCGCCGAGAAACACTTTTAGCATTTTTGATGTTTTCAAGAATTTTAATTTTAACATTTTCTCACAAACTCCAAACAAACACCAAACACCATTCTCATTTCCAATCTCAAACAACAAAAATTTCGAGCAATTTCATTTTTTCATTTTCAGTTTTATATGATTTTAAATGCTGGCAAAATAAAAAAAAAAATCATGCCGAAGAATTGAGAAAACGGTTCTACCTTACTATGTGTATCATGGTTCCCGCTTTATTCTTCATAGTTATATTTATATTATAAATGTCTTTTCAAAAGTGTAGTCTACTTAATCGCTTCAATTTTTGAACGCTTTAATGCACTTTTTCTATAAATGTACATAGGATATTTATGTATATCGCTAACAAGCGAACATATCGTGCTCAATTCAAAAATCATTTTACTGGAATACTGAGGAGCTTTTGATTACTTAAACATTTTAAATGATTCTTTGAATAAAAGAAAAAATTGACAGGTATGTAGTTACACACTATGATTGTTCGTTATAAAATAGCATACCCAAAATTGTTCTGAAAATTCAGAGTAAAAAGTTCGAGACTTAGACGAAATGTTTATGAATTTTTTCTAAATGTTGTAAATATGTGTATTTTTAAGGGTTTGGTTGAAATGCAACCAATATTCTTATAAAAAAATACCAAAAAAATTTACTTAAAAAGCATTGTGAATATTAAAAAAAATACATAGCGAATTTTTGTGTGACTGTATTTTTCTATAATAACTTCAGTTGAAGTTTTTTTAAATGATGAAGTTTCGTAGTTGCCTTTAGTTTCATCACTTTCGCTTTAGCTTGAAGAAAACCGAGAAGATGCCATTAATATGATCCCAAATACCATATTATTAGTTAAATAAAAGTTCCTTAATAAATAGACAATTTTAAAATTGGTAACTAAAAAAAGTTATTGGTAAGTATATTCCAAATTTGAGATATTTTTTATAAGTGGAATGCAGATTTTTTTTCGTCACTGGCAACTCTGCTTTCTGCTTATTTATCCAGGGCTGCATTGGTAATTATAATGAGGGTGTTCACCATGATCCTACTACACAAGATCTTAAAAGATGAAGCAAAAGAAAAAAGTAATTTTCTGTCTGACGTTTGTTATTTCGGCGCCATGTTGTTTTCTTTGAAATGGACCATAAGTAAACAAAGAATATGAGGAGGAAGTATAAAGAAAAATATTAAAGCAATTTTTGAGCGCATGCTTGTGCTAACCAATTTATTATTTTTGTACATGTGTTTGCAACCGATTACCGCGCACTTCATTTCAATTATATTTGAACAGAAATTTTTTTGAAAAATCGCTTTAAAATCGCTGAGATAAACCAAATCCAAAATACAAAGAATTAAATGAAAACAACAAAACAGAAACAGCAAACTTCAAAATTACGAAAGTCACATACTTTTTTCTCAAACGCTATTGCAAATGGCTGCTTGTCAACCGTCAGATCTATTCTAATTGGTTCATGGGTATTGCCAAGGTATTGTAAACTTTCGTATAGTTTATAAATGGGCATGGGACCAAGGCATATTGAATAGGTAATAGCAAGACGCATCAATACAAGGTTCTACACTAGTACAGGAAAATATCATCCAAGACGAAATGGCGAAACTCTAGGATGTCAACAAAACGAATTGGCGAAAATGATCTCCTATTTTCTTATTTCGTTTTGCGAGTGCAAGTTTCAACCGCCTAAAAAATCGCGTTGATTTTTGGGAGTTTTTGTTTGGAGGCTGCTTTTGCGGTATTTTTTTTTTTAAATAACAAGTTAAATTTACAAAAACTGGTGCTGATTTTTTGAAATTTTTTTTGCTTACGGTCTCCCGCATTTTATTTCATAAGAAATTCATGCATGTATGGGAAAAAGTACAAAAATCCGCCACAAAAAAAAAATTTCAAAAATCAACGCGATTTTGTAGGCGGTTGAACTTCACTATGTAGGCTAAAATAGTATGTTGTAGTAAATATTCAGATTAAAAATTAAAATTTTGATGAAAGTTTGTCGAATTTTCCTAAGCTTTGTACAAAATTTGAAACAGTTTTGGTCAAAAATAACAAAAAAAAAATTTGTTCGAAAAGCAATACGAATATCAAAAAAAAAATCAACACGTGGTCACTTGTTTGTGTCACTGTATATATTTATGTTGGACGGCAAAAAATGGTCCATTATATTGTTTTTTTTGGCCTTTTACTTGTATATTGCACACAAAATTTTGATGGTATGGCAACCGTGCTCCAATTATACCCGACCAATGCCATACATGTACATGGTTGGGCCGGAAATGCCTCCTAAATGTATGCTTTAATATTGATACTGAATTACAGAAGTTTAGTAATTAGATGTATGTATTAGGGATTGCCAATCGCGGGATCCCGGTGTTTTTTAGGTCCCGAATATCCCCGGATATATTTGCATTATCCCGAAACATTTGAAATATCGAATTGATAGTAAGAACTTGTTTATGAATTTTGAATTATGGTTTTTGTAAAATGCCGTTTTGACTGCAATTAACAAAAAGCTTGAAACTGTACTTTTCAATTGCATTCTGAGCCTTTTTTAATGAAAAATCTTCTTTAAAATCTTCTTGCTGGCACGAATTTGCAACTTTCCCTCCAAATGAAATCATACACGAAAATTTTAAAGAAAACAACTTATTGTTAGTCATATTTCCAGTAACGCGGAGAATCGGAGAAGGTTTTAACCGCAACTCGAAGAAACTAATGGCACACCCGGAGCGCGCAGATTTTTCACCAAGCCCGGAGGCTCCTAGAACCGGACATTTGGCAAGCCTAACCGTAAGGTATATTTTTACCTTAATTATGTATATATACTACATAATTAAGTTTGTATACAAATGAGCGATGTACGTACATAGGAATTTTATTTTGTGATACTATTTTTCACGTCATTCACTCCGAAGGCTTTATTAAAACTATAAACTATGCGAATATTTTGCCACACTACTTTTTTGTGTGCTATATGTACATATATAATAGCTATAATTGTGATATTTTTGTTAACCTGGAAGTCTTATTTTAAGCATAAAAACCAGCAAAAATAAATGTATAAATTGTAAGAAAGAAGCCATTTTGATAGGTTTATGAACCAGCTCTTGGCAGGAAAGAAAATTTTTCAGTGGTAACCCCTGACCCCTTTTTATTTTGGTATGGTAGAATCGACAAAAAAATGTGGCAGATTTGAGCAAGATGTGGTAGATTTTCCAATTCATAGCTCATAGAATTCAAAAATTAGATCGGGAAATAGTATAAGTGCTTTCGGATCGTAAGATTCAACGCAATTGATACACAAAACAAGTATTGCATTAGTTTTCTAGTTAGAGAATATATTCACGAAGAAAAAAATATTTTCATTAATTTGAGAAAAATCCTACGAATTGATTTATGCAAAAAAATCTACCAATATTTTTTTAGGTGTGCCTCTTTTGAAGACGGTGTGCGAAATGTATGTATATCGCATACACATGATATGTAATTAATAATGAATTATTTGTGCGTGTTTTACCAGACTTAAAATGTCTCATTTTATTGAGTTTATAAAGAATACGACCGTTTAAAAAAAGCTTATATTTTTGTGTATGTATTACAATATAGGATAGAACAAAGAACTCCTTTTTGTCGCATAATACTTTAGCAAATATAAATATGCGGATTTTTAAAATATTAAAAAGTTAAGGTACAGATATATTAAAGCCCAATTTATGATGTACCTTTTTAAAAATTTATTGATTAACTTTTATATTTCTTATTAGAATTGAGTTGGAATTTTAGAGTTATGTGAAAATTTAAACAAATGTTCTGTGTAAAAATGTGGTATATTTAAAGCCTTGTGTGGTAAATGTGGTTAGAAACCTAATTTTTTTTTTTAAATAAGTGGTAGATCTACCACATGTATGGTAGAGGTTCGCACACTGTTTGTAAGTCAAATATTAGGTTTGTATAGTAACCAATAGTCAGTACTAATTTGTACTGGAACTTGCAAATTTTTACTGGAAAAGTGTATGATAACCAGCGTTGCCATTTTAGCCGTTTTCCGGCTAGATTTAGCCGGTTTTGATAGCAACTAGCCGGAGAAAATTCGATCTAGC